CCCACGTCCCCCCCCCCCCAATAGCTAGCAATCCAAAACAGTCCAGTGGCACCTTTAAGGCCAAGGTTTATTCAGGTACAAGCTCTCCCTCCTCTGCGAGGACAGATCTGCACGTCCCCCTCCCCCCAATAGCTAGCAATTCAAAACAATCCAGTGGCACCTTTAAGGCCAAGGTTTATTCAGGTACAAGCTCTCCCTCCTCTGCGAGGACAGATCTGCACGTCCCCCTCCCCCCAATAGCTAGCAATCCAAAACAGTCCAGTGGCACCTTTAAGGCCAAGGTTTATTCAGGTACAAGCTCTCCCTCCTCTGCGAGGACAGATCTGCGTTGTCAGGGGTGTGGCCTAATATGCTAATTAGTCTCCTGCTGTTGGGTGTAGCCTGTTATGCTAATGAGTTCCTGCTGGGCTTTTTGTACAAAAAGCCCTGCTTCTAGTCTTTAGGACTGCCAAGACGTACTGGAACACGAGTCCTTCTACTGAAAGCTCAGAAACCAGAAGGATATCCGAACAAAGTTTTGGGGTACAGCTTCGGGGCGGTGCATAGCTCCTGGCGGACTCTAATCTGGGAGAACCGGGTTTGATTCCCCACTCCTCCACATGCAGATGCTGGTGTGACCTTGGGTCACTTACAAGTCATTTCAGACCTGTTCTCTCAGGAGCAGTCCTCGAAAGAGCTCTCTCAGCCCCACCAACCTCCCAGGGTGTCTGTTGTGGGGAGGGGAAGGGAAAGGAGATTGTAAGCCACTTTGGGACTCCTTCGGGTAGTGAAGGGCAGGGTATAAATCCAATCTCTTCTTCTTCTTCCCCAGAGATGGAAAAAAACCAGAATAAATTGTGCAAAGCAGAAAAAGCACAGAGCTAAGAATAAGGATGCGTGTTTGCTCAGTTCTGTTTAATTGCAAAATCTTTTGATACAGACGTGTTCAGCACAGAGTGCACTCAGCCCGATGGATATGTCTCTTTGTCTGTTGCAGAGCCTGCTGCCCATCCTGGTGAAGAAAGGACTGTCCCCGAACCTGCACACTTTTTGCAACCTGGCAATAGCCTGCCACAAAAAGGAGGACGGAGTGCAGTTACTCTCCGACATGAAGGTGAAAGAAGCTGTAGCTTTTGGGTCAGAGTGGTGTGTGGTAGACTCAGTGATGTTGGCTTCCGTGAGTTTTGAGTTTTAGAGTAGGAACAGAGAAGTGTGGACCCACGAGACTCGCGGGTGGGGGACCCACGAGACCCGCGGGTGGGGGACCCACGAGGCTCACCACCCCCAGCCCTTTCTCCCCAGACTCAGCTGGGCTCCTGGGCTTTGCTGCAGCCGCCACCATGCCCACCACTGCTCCCGTGCTCTGCCGCAGCCACTGCCAGGCCCACCACGGCTCTCAGGCTCCAGCACAGAGGCTGCTGGGCCAGCGTGGCTCCTGGAATCCACCACAGCCCCCAACGACCACGCTAGAAGTCCCTGTGATCTCTGTGGTCTGTGCAGAGAACTCTCTTGTGTTGCACCTGCTGGTGTGACCTTGGTTCAGTCACAAGCTCTGGCACAGCTGTTCCTGAAAGAGCAGTTTGTGTCAGAGTTCTCTCAGTCCCACCCGCCTCACAGGGTTGTCTGTCGTGGGGAGGGGAAGTGAAAGGAGGTTGTAAGCCGCTCTGAGACTCCCGAGTGAAGGGTGGGGTATAAATTATTATTATTATTCCTCCCCCCTCCTCCTCCCCCCCTTCTCCTCCTCCTCCTCCTCAATATGCATGTTGTATAAGGGGGTTCGAACCAGCCCAGACTCTCCACCAGCCGATCTTTCATGCCAGTTTTTGCCCATCCTGGTGAAGAAAGGACTGTCCCCGAACCTGCACACTTTTTGCAACCTGGCAATAGCCTGCCACAAAAAGGAGGACGGAGTGCAGTTACTCTCCGACATGAAGGTGAAAGAAGCTGTAGCTTTTGGGTCAGAGTGGTGTGTGGTCGACTCAGTGATGCTGGCTTCCATGAGTTTTGAGGAGTTTTAGAGTAGAAACAGAGAAGTGTGGACCCACAAGACCCGCGGTTGGGGGACCCACGAGACTCACGGGTGGGGAAAGACGAGTAACAATGTTGGTCTGTCCGTAGCAGTAGAAAAGAGCAAAGAGTCCACCGGCACCTTAAAGAGTCACAAAACTGGCGGCAGGGGAGGCGCTTCCGTGAGTCACGTGGCTCACTTCGGGATCTGAAGAAGTCAGCAGTGATTCACAAAAGCTCACACCCTGCCACCAATTTTGTCACGTCATATTTTTTTTGGTGGGTTTTTGTGTGTGTGTGTGCGCGCTTGCATCCCTGGAAGTCATGGCGACGTCTGGCAAACCCTGGTGGAGTTTGGGCGTTTCAGAGAGGTGGCTTTGACGTTACCTGCCTCTGCCTCCCAGCCCTGGTATTCCTTGGAGGCCTCCCTTCCTATTACTCGCCAGGGTCGAACCTGCTTAGCTTCCAAGATCGGGCTCGCCTGGGCTATTCAGGTCAGGGCTCCGATTTTGTTAGTCTTTAAGGTGCTACTAGGAGCTGCGGTGGCTCAAGTGGTAAAGACGCTGAACTGCAGGCTGTGGAAGGTCAGTAGTTCAGCAGTTCGAGACCCGAGTTACGCATGATGGAGTGATCTCCTGTCTTTGGCCCCAGCTCCTGCCAACCTAGCAGCTCGAAAGCAAGAAATTGCAAGTAGATAAATAGGTACCACTTCGGTGGGAAGGGAACAGCGTTCCGTGCGCCTTGGTGTTTAGTCATGCCGGCCACATGACCACGGAAACGTCTTCGGACAGCGCTGGCTCTTCGGCTTTGAAACGGAGATGAGCACCGCAACCCTAGAGTCGGACTCGACTGGCTTTCGAGCAAGGGAGACCTTTGCCTTTGCTTTAAGGTGCTACTAGGCAACAACCTTGGCGCTTGGAGGTGTCTCTTTATTTCCCTCGACCCGCACCTGAATTGCTACGTGGCCAGATTTGTCCGTTCTTTCAACTTCCTTTTGCCTCGTCGTTCTTGTCTGTGTCTTTCAGCGATCCGGGATAAACCCCAACATCAACATCTACGGCGCGCTTATCCAAGCGGCTGTGAAGAAACTGGACTACGCATACCTCATTGCAATCCTCCGGGACATGAGCGACACGCAGACGGCCCCAAATGAATATGTCTTGCAGTTGCTAGAGTTCGCCGCTCAGTATCCTCCGGACTATGACCAAGTAAGATACCGTAGTGGCGTTTGGGTTTTAAAAAAAAATCCCTGTGGAATTTCTGGCCACGGTGTGATACAGAGTGTTGGACTGGATGGGCCTTTGGCCTGATCCAACATTGGCTGCATATGTTCTTATGTTAAAACCGTTGAATTGCACCTAGCAGTCCTTCAGTGGATGCATGCAGATTGTCATGGAACTTCCCCGTGATCCTCCTTTATTTAGCACCCTTCTAATCCTCACTGTGTGCCCCCAATATTGTACCGATAGGTCCACATAGAATCATAGAGTTGGAAGGGACCTCCAGGGTCATCTAGTCCAACCCCCTGCACAAGGCAGGGAATTCACAAATGCCTCCCCCGCACAACCCCAGTGACCTCTGCTCCACACCCAGAAGACGACAAAAAACCATCCAGGATCCCCAGCCAAACTGGCCTGGATAAAAATGGCTTCCTGACCCCAAAGGGGTGATCAGCATTTCCCTGGGCGTGTCAGAAAGGGCCACGAGAACTAAGCACTGAGGCAACCCTTCCTCCCCCCCCCTTCTCGTGATCTGCCTAAGTTCACGGATTCAGCATTGCTGACAGATGGCCATCTAGCCTCTATTTGAAAACCTCCAGAGAAGAAGAGCCCATCACCTCCGAAAGAAGCCAGTTCCACTGAGGAACCGCTCTGTCAGGAAGTTCTTCCTCATGTTTAGCCGAAAACTCCTTTGATTTAATTTCAACACGTTGGTTCTGGTCCAACCATCACGGGCAACAGAAAACTACTCCACACCATCCTCTCTATAACAGCCCTCCATGTACTTAAAGATGGTTATCGTATCACCTCTCAGTCGTCTCCTCTCCAGGCTAAACACGCCCAGCTCCTTCAACCTTTCCTCATAGGACTTGGTCTCCAGACCCCTCACCATCTTCGTTGCCCTCCTCTGGACAAATTCCAGCTTGTCTATATCATTCTTAAATTGTGGTGCCTAAAACTGGACACAATACTCTAGGTGAGGTCTAACCAGAGCAGAGTAAAACCATACCGTCACTTCATGTGATCTGTACACTATACCTCTGCTGATGCAGCCCAAAATCGCATTTGCCTTTTTAGCTGCCGCATCACACTGCTGACTCATGTTCAATGTATGGTGTACTGAGACCCTTGGATCCTTTGCACACATACTCCTGCCAAGGCAAGTCTCTCCCATCCCCCATGGGTACCACAACTCCGGGCATCAACTTTCTGGCAGTCAGAAGGGACTGCAGTGGGGAGGGAAAACCCTGAAAAGATTCCTGATCATTATCCAAAATCGATTATTCAACCAGTGTTCCCTCTAAGCTGAGTTAGTGTGAGCAAGCCCACAGTTTTTTAGCCTCCAGCTCACACATTTTTGTCCTAGCTCAGGAAGGATGGCTCCAGAGTAAACTGATTGATGCAGTAGCCAAATCACTCACTCACAACTTTGATGCCAGTAGCTCACAAAGTAGAATTTTTGCTCACAAGACTCCACAGCTTAGAGGTAGCATTGTATTCAACCCACTCGTTTTAGCTCAGTTTTAAAAGAACTTTCAGGCTGAGACTGTAAAATGTTTTGAACAGTCTTAACGTTGATTAAGAACATAAGAGACGCCAATGTTGGATCAGGCCAAAGGCCCATCCAGTCCAACACTATGTCACACAGTGGCCAGAAATACCAGGTGCCATCAGGAGGTCCACCAGTGGGGCCAGGACATTAGAAGCCCTCCCACTGTTGACCCCCCCTCCAAGCACCAAGAAGACAGAGCATCACTTGCCCCAGAGTCCCTATCTATACCTTGTGGCTAATAGCCACCGATGGATCTCTGCTCCATATGCCTATCTAATTCCCTTTTGAAGCCGTCCATGCTTGTAGCCGCCACCACCTCCTGTGGCCGTGAATTCCATGTGTGAATCACTCTTTGGGTGAAGAAGAACTTCGTTATCCGTTCTAACCCGACCGCTCAGCAATTTCATGGAGTGCCCACGAGTCCTTGTATTGTGAGAAAGGGAGAAAAGTACGTCTTTCTCTACCTGCTCTATCCCATGCATAATCTTCTAAACCTCAATCATATCTCCCCTCAGTCGGGACGTCCCCCCTTCCTACTGCGTACTTGCCCACAAAAGATTTGCAGGTGGATTTTCAGTTCAAAGTACATTTGTCTTTTCTGGGGCAGGGAGCAGAGGGCTCGACTGGGCCTTCCCACAGTAGGAAGTCGTCTGTAGCACCAGAGAATCCATCCGCCCCTTCCCGTACAGAACAGAGTGTTTTAAAACAAGGTTACCGGATTTCTGACCATTTCCGGGAAGGAGTATTCCTTGCACCTTTACTGTCTTGTGTGGACAAGCTGTCCTCCGGGGAAGAGTTAATCACCCTCTCGCTTTTCCCCCCTTTTGCAGTACAAGAAAAGAGACCCCTACCTGGAAAAAATCAACGGCTTTAGAAAGTACTACTTCCGCTGGCTGAAGTGGATGGCTGCACAGGAAGAGCCCCACCCATGGGCCAAATACCGATCGGGTAAACAGTCTCAAAAAGAAGCTAGCACCAGAGAGGAATAAACCACACAGCGGGAAAGGTACCAGGAAGCAGCCGCTTGCCTGTGCCTCGCCACCATTGCTATGGAGCGTTATGTGCCATTCCCGTCACCCTTTTGCGGCATTTATCACGTCCTTGACGTTGTAAAAGTCGGTATCCGTAAAAGCATGTAAATAAAACTCCGAGAAGAAAAGCGAGACTTCCTTCTTGGCAATACAGATGGCTTTTAAGAAAACGTTGAATTCCTTTAGAGACTCCTGCCGCATTTGAGGCGCTTTGTTGTATAGCAGCAGCAGATACATGGCAGTGGGGTTGTGGCAAATGATACTGTGTGTTTCATTCAAGTGTGTTATTTGCAATGCAGTCCTAAAACTGTTACACCCTTCTACAGCTACTGAAACCAGTGGGCTTAGATTGGGCAACTCTGCTTAGGATAGCCCTACGGTGATGCAGTCGTAATGGAATATAGGTAATGAGCTCTTCCCAAAAGATCTCTGGCGGCGGCGGAAAGGGGACACTGGCTGTAATCACAGCTGATTCGTAGTGACCCCATAGAGTTTTCAAGGCAAGAGGGGAACAGAGGTGGTCTGCCATTCCCCACCTCTACATATCCACCCAGGACTTCCTTGGAGGTCTCCCATCCAAATACTAATTAGGGCCAGTGTTCCCTCTAAGCTGAGTTAAAGTTAGCTAGCTCACAGTTTTTTAGCCTCTGGCTCACACATTTTTGTCTTAGCTCAGGAAGGATGGTTCCAGAGCAGTGTTCCCTCTAAGATGAGTTAGTGTGAGCTAGCTCACAGGTTTTTAGCCTCCAGCTCATGGATTCTTGTCTTAGCTCAGGAAGAATGGCCCCAGAGCAAACCAATTTATGCAGTAGCCGAATAATTTGCTCACAACTTTAATGCCAGCAGCTCAGAAAGTAGAATTTTTGCTCACAAGACTCCACAGCTTAGAGGGAACATTGTTCCAGAGCAAACTGATTTATGCAGTAGCCAGATGGCTCGCTCACAACTTTAATGCCGGCAGCTCACGAAGTAGAATTTTTGCTCACAAGACTCCACAGCTTAGAGGGAACATTGATCAGGGCCGACCCTACTTAGCTTCTGAGATCTGACTAGCCTGATGCATCCAGGTCAGGGCAAAAAAAACAATCTACCGTGACCTTTTCTGCAGGGTAAAAAAATATCTCGGTGGACTCTAACATGGGGGTGTCAAACATAAGGCCCGAGGGCCGGATTTAGCCCATCGAAGGCTCTTATGCGGCCTGCGAGCAACTGATGCAAGGGAGGGAGTGTTGGGGGGGGAGTGGGCAGAGCCACTCCATTATGGCCTTAGCACAGCAGATCAACCTCGTCTGCAGCAGTCAAGCATCGTGGGAGCCTCTGCCCAGCATTGCACTCCTGCCTCTCTGGTCCACCTATGGGGGTTTCCCTCTGTACCCCCCTCCCACCCCAGGGGGCCTTGTAGTGAAGATGCACCAACTCAGAGCTTCCCAGCTGCTGTCCTTTATACAGTTTCTGTCTCCAGTACCTGGCATAGCGTTTTATGGCACACATGGCCCGGCCCGACAAAGAGACATTTATGTCAGATCCGGCCCTCGTAACAAGTGAGTTCGACACCTCTGCTCTTACCTGTTTCCCCCCCCACTTCTCTGCTTGCTTGATAAGAAAGGTCGAGCAGCTGGGCTCCACCAACCCCTGCCCTACCACTGTGGTCCCACTGCCTTTAACAGGTTGTTTTTATCTCCAGGCTAAAGATGCACGTCTTTTTGTTTTGCTCCGTTAACGTCACCAACGCAGACATCACCAAAGAAACGGGGGCCCAGGGAGGCCACACACGTACGGTAGGCGAGGCTTTATTTTAAAATAAAATGATCACAGAGAATGGACTAGCACGTCACGGCCGCGTCATCCGGCGTCTAAGAAGATCCGCTCACCGTCGGGGTTTATGGAAGGCGAAGTAGCGCTCTTAAGAACAGTCACTGATGCAGAGTCAGCAGCCCCACAAACGGGGAGAGGGCATCACTGGAGAAGAGGCTTCATCCGGAGCAGCCTCTGCATCCGCAGTGCGTGCATTCGATGATCCTTCCCTGTGGAATGAAACCGGCATGTTAAATCAGCCCCGGGTCAGAGGTGCAGAGGAACTAATGGCTGAGGAGGAGAGCCAGAGGGGCTTTGCTGGACCGGAGAAACCACCCCTTGGAAGGAACCGAAATGGATTCGCAGAGGTCTGGTTTCTTGCTGACCTGTGCGGGAACATCTCCGCTTGTTACCGAGCGACAGCAGCCAAAAATGCTTACTGTGTAGAACTAAGTTGTTTCCTCTCTCAGTGGCTGATGGCATACGCCTCCCCCAAGAACGCCGTGCGAAGGTGCTTTATAATCCTTGCTTTCCGTTTAAAACCCTCCTCAAGAATGCAGAGGGCTGGAAAAGCTGGAAAGCGTGACCGCGTGCCTTAAAAGCTCCACCCCATATTGAATTTTTATATCTCACAGGGCAATCCACACTGGAGCTTATGAAAAAACTCTCCCAAAGGTTTTTGATATTCTGGCATGAGTCTACTAGCTTTTTAAAAAGGGAGAAGCCCTTCGTACCAGTGTTCCCTCTAAGCTGAGTTAGTGTGAGCTAGCTCAGTTTTTTAGCCTCCGGCTCACAGATTTTTGTCTTAGCTCAGGAAGGATGGGCTCCAGAGCAAACTGATTTATGCAGCAGCCAAATGGCTGGCTCACAGCTTTAATGCCAGTAGCTCACAAAGTAGAAGGACCCGTGGCGTGCCGCCGGCACGTCTGATCGCCGCCCGGGAACGTACCCACCCCTCCCCCCCCACCCACACGATATCCGGCCCGTGTGACCGGGGCCATAGATTAGCTGAGCTGATACTGAGCACATTGAAAGCTAGTGGGTGCCAGCAGTGTTCCCTCTAAGCTGAGTTAGTGTGAGCTAGCTCACAGTTTTTAAGACTCCAGCTCACACCTTGTTGCCTTAGCTCAGGAGGGATGGCTCCAGAGCACACTAATTTACGCAGGAGCCAAACCGCTTGCTCACAACTTTAATGTCAGTAGCTCACAAAGTAGAATTTTTGCTCACGAGACTCCACAGCTCCGAGGGAGCACTGCATGGTTCCTAGACCTGTTTCCTAATTTGGAACATCAGAGACAAATAGAATTTTTGCTCACGAGACTCCGCGGCTCCGAGGGAGCATTGCTTGGTCCCTAGACCTGTTTCCTAATTTGGAAGATCAGAGACAAGTCTGAGCTCTTCAAAACCACCCTGGCGTGGTGTGCTGGTCAATGACAAACCTACTCTGGTCAGCCTGTCCTGGAGGACAAATTAGGTGCGGATTGAAGCTCGGGAGGGGAGCGGCAGGGAGCTCCAGGGCAGAAAGAATCGCGACACTCAAGGAGAGGGGCTGCTTTGCGTCCTCACCACTTCCAGCTTGCTTTTGGGAACCCGGCAGATGCAGTTCGTGCCGAAGTTGGTGTCCCGCGTCTGGATGCAGCGCAGGCAGCAGAGGTTTTCGTAGCCCTGTTTCTTCCACTTTGCAATCAGGTTTTTGTCAGCGTATCCTTCTTTGATGCAGTACTCGTACAGTTCTGCAGGGTGGAGAAAGGAGACACATCAATATTGTGCTCGGTGGGGGGGGTCACTGTTTCCTCTAAGCTGAGTTAGTGTGAGCCAGCTCACGGTTGTTTAGCCTCCGGCTCACACATTCTTGTCTTCGCTCAGGAAGGAGGGCTCCAGAGCAAACTAATTTATGCAGTAGCCAAATCGCTCGCTCAGAACTTTGATGCCGGTAGCTCACAAAGCAGAATTTTTGCTCACATGACTCCACAGCTTAGAGGAAACATTGGTGGGGGTGTGAATTTTATACCGCCACGACCACCCCCACCCCCAAACCACCTATCAGGAGCAACAGACTCTTCAGATGCCTGGATGAAAAACTGCGTCATCTGCAGGGGATGAAAATATCCAGTTGCCAGGCAGCACACCAGGGAAGGAGTCGATTTCCTTTCTGGCCTCTGCAGAGTTTTTAAAGGGCAGCAGTAACAAAGGAGCAGGAAGAATCCATGTCAGTCTTAATTTACCATTTTTTAAGGCAAGATCTTGTTGCACCATAATTTCCCTCTCCTTGTGAGCCACGAGGTGACATCTAAATAGATTAAATCAGGGGTGTCGACCTCATTTGTAATGAGGGCCGGATCTGACATAAATGAGACCTTGTTGGGCCGGGCCATGTGTGTCATGGAATGTCATGCCAGGTAGCAGAGATATAAACTTTATAAAGGACAAACTCAAAGGGTGGGTTTTTTTTACTTAAAATAAAAACATGCTGAAAACATCAGCACTCTTGCAATATTTTGTTTATTTAACAGTGTCGGATAACTGACACCTCTTGCTCTGAATTATTGCATCAAAATGTCCTGTGCTGTTGCAATCTTGCGTATGCTGTTCAGGTGTGTATCTGTAAGCTGCAAACCTATGACGACGCAGCAGCAGCAGAACTGGAAGAAGAAGCAGAAGACAGCCAGTTCCACTGTGGGCCTTATAGAAGTCCTTCGGGGGCCTGATCCGGCCCCTGGGCCACACGTTTGACACCCCTGGTTTAAATACATATATCCATCCACAGTCAGAATTAGCACCCCTTCATTTTTCCTTCACCAAAACATGCACCAACTGCATTCTTGAGAAAGAGGAGCACTCATTTATTTTTCCTTCACCGAAATGTGCACCAACTTGATTTCCCATCCCAGAACAAAAGTGCTCTTCACAAGGAAGAAAACCAAGATGACTGGCTTACCTCTACTAATGGCTTTTCTCTTGTAAAAGAGATCGAAGATGTAACGTGTTTTCTGGTGATGGATTCTGAAAATGGGCCAGAGGGATTCCACTTTCCTCTTCCCTTCGTGTGGCTCTGTCTCAGCTGCCCATGAAGAAAGAAAAGGAAAGGTGTTATTTCCCCCAAAAAAGCCATCTCCATCCCATGTCTCTTATTCCATATCATACCTAATAGCCAAGTATGGGTTCTGATGCACAAATCTGTGCCCAGTGTGACCCCTTGGCCGAACTGGAATCACACAGTCGGAGTCCAATGAGTTAGATGAAAATCTGTTTATTGCAACTGAAACAGGAGATACGAGGGCTGAGTACCTTTAGGCCCCCAGCGACACCAAGCTGTAGCCTGCCTTAACCAGGAAGGACAGAGGGTCTTATACCCCAAGTGACATCACATATAATTTACACATTCAAGAACCTTTAATTGGTACCAAGAAGTTAACATCATAAAAGCATCATTTGACTCTAAGCCTTACTATATGGTCTCTCCTGTTACTGGTCATGTATGTCAGTGATTGCATTTGTTTATCTAGTCTTCAGAACAATGGGAAACATTAGAGAACACTGGGACCCCCTCTGGCCTCGCTTACGGAAAGCTAGCTGATAAGGGCTGTGATTCACGTTACCCTGAGCTCTTGGCATCCTTGCAACTCCTAAACAGCATTCCATTCTATCACATCCTAATTCCATCTACAGAGGCTTCTAGTCATATTTTTGCTTAATATAGCTTCTTATACAGAAAAATACAATTATATAGAAGAAGAAGAGATTGGACTTATACCCCGCCCTTCACTTGGGAGTCTCAGAGCGGCTTACAAACTCCTTTCCCTTCCCCTCCCCACAACAGACACCCTGTGAGGTGGGTGGGGCTGAGAGAACTCTGACACACACTGCTCTTTTTCAAGGACAGCTGTGCCAGAGCTTGTGACTGACCCAAGGTCACATCAGCAGGTGCAAGTGGAGGAGTGGGGAATCAAACCCGGTTCTCCCAGATTAGAGTCCGCACACTTAACCACTGCACCAAACTGGCTCTACTATGTCTCTCTAATCCAAATGTTCTAGGTTACATACCAAGATCTGGATCTATTATGATTAAACTTTCGAAGGCACAGTGACAGCTGTTTATATATAGGAGAGAGTGTCAGAAATCACATTCAGAAATCACATTCTTTTCCCCTTGTCCTACATCTCTGTGCATGTCAAAAAAGATCCACCAGGGAAGGCCAGTCAGGTCTTCCCAGGGGGAACCCTCGGAGTCACAGAAAAGCAGTGAATAACAAAGTACAAAGAGCATCAAGATCTCATGAGACTTCTGTGCGAGATCCCCACTGCCGTTGTCTAGGCAACGCAAAATGACAGCTGGAAGTACTTTGGCACCCTTACATGGTGTTTTACTGGAAGGTGAGGCAGGCCAGAAGCAGAAGCTGGAGACCTGGGGGAGGAGAGCCAGTCGGGGAGAAGAGGAAAGTGGCAAAGGGAAAAGGAGTTAACGGAAAGGGGGGGAAGGAGGAGGTAGAACCAAAGGCGGCAGAGAGAAGAAGAAGAAGAGATTGGATTTATACCCTGCCCTTCACTCAGAGTCTCAGAGCGGCTTACAGACTCCTTTCCCTCCCCCTCCCCACAACTACCCTGGGAGGTAGGTGGGGCTGAGAGAGCTCTTGATAGAAACTGCTCTTTTTCAAGGACAGCTCTTATCAGAACTACGGTTTGCCCAAGGTCATCCAGCAGGTGCAAGTGGAGGAGTGGGGAAATCAAACCCGGTTCTCCCAGATTAGAGTCCGCACACTTAACCACTACACCAAACTGGCTCAGATGCTTTTCATTAGGAATGCCAAGAATTCAACGTGGGACTTCTGACATGCCAAGCATTTACTCTACCACTGAATTATGGAGCCCTACCACAGCAATGGTTTCAGGTAAAGTCATCCCAAAGAGCCCAGGGTTCAAACCTCGACAGCCCTACTTTATTAGGCAGTGTGAATTCTCACCACCAACCTAGTCCTTGGCTTCAGCCCTCACCTTCTCTCATCTTCTGGTCCAGCTCATCTAAGGTTGGTTCAATCAATTCCCAACCGTCCGGTGGAGGTTTTCTGCTCCTTTTCACCTTGGGCATCTCAAGAGGAAAAAGGAACGGCCTAGGCAAAGAAAAATCACAACAGTTACCTAATTCGTCCTGAAAGTAATAAGCACACCTGTAGACTGCCTGTGCTTCATCTTCAGTCTCCCAAAACTAAGGAAATGGGATTGTAGGCTGGTGTCAGATTTGCCTAGGATGACCTGATGCAAAATCAGGCAGGGGCGCTTTTGGCTCAGTGGAAGAGCATCTGCTTTGCATACAGAAGGTCCCAGGTTCCGTCCCCGGCAGGAGCTTTCCAAGCTCTCTTTCACATCAGCCACCACTACTGGATCCTTTTAACTTCAGATGCCAGAAGGGAAAATGGTGTGACTTTCTGCATGGGTGTTAAATGCTGTACCACTGAGTCTCAGTCTAGCCCCTCCTTTGCATCTGGCTACTCTAAATTTGTGAAGAAAAAGGGAGTGCACAATCTAATATCAAAAATTTATAAAATTTTAAATAACAACCATCACAACATCAATCTGAATTATCAAGAAGCTTGGTCAAGAGACCTTCAGTGCCAAATTTCCGAGGATCAATGGAATGGTATCTGGCAAAATCGGAACTCATCATCAAAATCCTTACACATTATAGAGACAAACATGAAGGTCCTGTTGAGATGGTACTTAACACCAACTAAACTAGCGCACTTGATACCCACCATGTCGCCGCAGTGCTGGAAACAGTGCGGATCTAAAGCAACTTACTTCCATAACTGGTGGTCCTGCAAAGTTATTCAAAGCTTTTGGCATCAAGTAACAGACTGCATTCACAAATTAATGAATTAAAATTTACCTTTTTCACCAGCTGTTCTTCTCAGTCTGTGGCCCTGTGACGATCCTCCTGAAAAAGTTAAAAAATGAATCAGTGTTCTTTCTACAGCGGCTAAAATTCTAATTGCAAAGTATTGGAAAGATACTAAGGTGCCAAATATAACTCAGTGGTGGTATAAAGTATGGGATCTATTCATGCTGGACAATTTCTCAGTTTATCACTCCAATAACCAAAATGAGTGTGCCTTTTCCAACCCTTTAAATATCTGGTACCCTTAGATAAAATAGACATTGATACCTTTGATTGGGAAACTATATCTAAAGCCAAATACAAGTTACTGGTATTTGGTTAGTCTAGATTTCCTAAGTGAGACTTTTTTTATATTGACTTTTTATGCTACTATTCACTGTGTAATCGTTGACAAAGTCGCCATTTTGTACTGTAGTTTTTTATAGTAAAATAATTTTTTTTTAAAAAAAGGAGTGCACCAAAGCAAAATGAAGATAAAGACACAAATTGGTGCAGGGGGAAGCAATCTTTTGAACAAAGATTCTATTTCCACCTACACCAATTTGTTTCTTCATCCTTGTTTTACTCTAAATTTGCCCAATGGATAGACTAAGAGGGAAGGTATTAGAGCACAAGCAGCCAGTGTGCTTTAGAGGCTGGAGTGCAACTAGGATTTGGAGGGCCCATGTTTGAATCCACAGCTTTGTCATGGAAGCTCGCTAGGTGACCTTGGCCCATGCACTCTCACCCTAGCCTTCCTTGCAGGGTTGCTGTGATTCATTGGAGGAAAATGAAGCAAGCTGCAGTGGGCCTCCACTGGATAAAAAGGTGGAGCGTTATATAAGATACAATACATCGACTTTGCTAATTATGCATTACATTCCCCTTTGTCTACACTATCGCATCCTGTTTCCTTTCATCACGGAATTAAAGGATACTGGTGGAACCCACTAGCTTTCAATGTGCTCAGTATCAGCTCAGCTAATCTATGGCCCCGGTCACACGGGCCGGATATCGTGGGGGGGGGAGGCGTGGCTAATTGCCCCGGCGCAGTTTGATCTGCGATTACGCGATCAGATGCACCAGCGGCACACCACGGGTCCTTCCCTCAGCGCCGGAGGGTAAACGAGGGACTGGAGGGGAATGCCGCGCACCGGCGCGATCACACCACGGGCGTCTGGAGACAGTCCATGGCAAACGTTTACTAGTACCTTGGAGGTACTAGTTTTTTAACGCGCATTGTCGGCGGTAAGCCACGGGTGTGCTCCACTTCCCAGATGTTGGGGTGTGATCGCACCCGGATAATCCGCCCACCTTCCGTGCCTCTCCCGTGGCAACTTTGCCGTGTGACCGGGGCCTATCACGGGTTTTCCTTCCCCCTTAGAAACAGCTAACCCCAGTTCTTCCCATCAAATGTCTTAAAATAAGCATCCCCTCTCAAGGACTGGCTTTATCTACCAGGGCAATTAGCCACACTAATATGGAGCTGCAGTGGCTCAAGTGGTTAAGACGCTGAACTGCAGGCTGTGGAAGGTCAGTAGTTCAGCAGTTCGAGACCCGAGTGTGCCGCATGACGGAGTGAGCTCCCGTCTCTAGTTCCAGCTCCTGCCAACCTAGCAGTTCGAAAGCAAGACATTGCAAGGAGATAAATAGGTACCACTTTGGTGGGAAGGGACCAGCGTTCTGTGCGCCTTGGTCTTTAGTCATGCCGGCCACATGACCATGGAAACGTCTTTGGACAGCGCTGGCTCTTCGGCTTTGAAACAGAGATGAGCACGGCAACGCTAGAGTTGGACTCAACTGGCTTCGAGCAAGGGAGACCTTTACCTTTACCAGGGCAAAACCGTTTCTTAGTTTCAATTTGTATCCTGCAAGTGGGCTCAGGGCAGTCGACAACAATGGGGAATACAAAACCCCCAAAGTAATTTAGCAATAAATAGTTAAAACAGTAGGCAATACGGCACTAGAGGAGATCTAAGGTTCCAGGCCAACAACCAGGCCACAGAACCAGGAGCGATGGCAGGCAATGTTCCCTCTAAGCTGTGGAGTCGCGTGAGGCTAAAAAGCTGTGAGCTGGCTCACACTAACTCGGTTTAGAGGGAACACTGTTCAGGGCAGTCGACAACAATGGGGAATACAAAACCACCAAAGCAATTTAGCAATAAATAGTTAAAACAGGAGGCAATGCGGCACTAGAGGAGATCCAAGGTTCCAGGCAATCAACCAGGCCACAGAACCGGGAGCGATGGCAGATCTCCTCCTGGAAGGTGTTCCCAAACCGCCCGCCCGCCGCCACCCCCTTTTGACGCTCCACGGCGGCTAGAAGACAGGCAGGAGCGCCACAGGCGAGGCCCCGTCGCTGCGACCGAGGACCTCTTCACCGGTTGAACTTCTTCCTGCCGTGTCTCCGGCACAAGCAATGCCAAAGAGGCGGCAGCGACAAAAAGCAAACCTCTAACGACGCTCGACGCTCTCGGGGACTCTCCCCCTCGCAGGGACTCCGGCCGCCGTCAAAAAACACCCTCCGGGGAGAAGCTCCGCCGCCTTTAAGACCCCCGTTCCCTTGTCTTTCTTTCTCTCGCTCCTTCTCTTCCGTCTCTTCGCGGCCTTCCGTCGCAACACAGTGACGTCACCCGAGAGTCCAGCGAGGCCCGAGTTCCTTCCACCACCACCCGTCGCTCTCAGGGCCCTCTCAAGCCGGTAGCTCCGTCTTTCCCAATGCCTTACTGTTTAATGGAAAGGCAACCCTCCACTCCTTCTCCGACATAAAAATTTTAAAAACGTTCTGCCTCCCCTAGAGAGAACCAGGCGCCTCAAAATGACGCGAACGGTGTCGAATCGGCGGTGACATTTTTTCAAAAAAAATCAGGCAGCACTGAAGACAGCCCCGGGCCCGGTCCTCAGGGGTCCGCGACGTAGCGCGCGTGCGCGCCCTTGGGCTGGGAGGGGCCGGCGGGAAGAGGAGAGGGAGCGTACACAGCGGCGGCTGGCGGCGGCGGCGGCTTCCGCTTCCGGGTCGCCTCCTGGCTGGTGTGGAAGCGAGGCGCGGGCGGGGCGAGAGGCAGATTGACTCGCCGCTGCTGGAGCCGCGACCGCCGTCCTCGCCTTCGCCATGCCCAAAGGAGGTGGGTGAGGAAGGGCCGGGCGCGGAGAGCGGCGGGTCGAGGCCTAGCTGCTGGGCGTGGGGCGGTGGGGGAGGCAAGCCCGGGGGGGGGTGGCACCGTCTCGTGGCGGGGAGTTCCGCGGGCTGTATTCTCCTTCGGGTTGCCAACCTCCAGCTGGTGGCTGGAGATCTCCCGCCCAGACAGCCCGTGCTCCCTCCTGAGGTCTGGAGTCCTGTGAGCGGAAATTCTAGATCTCATGGGCAGTGTTCCCTCGAAGCTGAGTCAGTGTGAGCCAGCTCACAGTTTTTTTTAGCCTCCGGCTCACACATTTTTGTCTCCGCTCGGGAAGGATGGGGCACCAGAGCAAACGAATGTATGCAGTAGCCAAATCACCTGCTCACAACTTTAATGCCGGTAGCTCACAAAGTAGAATTTTTGCTCACAGGACTCTACAGCTTAGAGGGGACATTGCTCATGGGTGGAAGTGACAAGGGAGTCGATACCGGCTAAATATCAGGAGAAACTGCCTGACTGACAGAGTGGTTGAGCGC